CGTTATATTCTTAATGGTACACGTTGATAAGAGATTAAAATTCAATTAATAAAACACTCTGATGCTAGCAACGCTATCGCAAAGAGTCATATACTTGACTCAATCCGGCAACAGAGGTCGAAAGTCAATGTAGGAAATCATGATTGTTCAATCGATCGTTTCTATCTATAGGCTATTCTACCCCGGTCGCCAGCCAATCACATCATCTACAGGTGTTTCTAGAATTAGCAGACAAAACATATAATACCATAAACAATAATAATATCTCTTTGTCATTCAATGTGAACCGCCATATGGACGTTTGGGACGTCAACTCAAGCGAAAGCGGTATTCAGGCAAAGTCTACTTAAATCGGACTGGATATGATGGTAGTATACTCTTGATATTATGCTTTGCCTAACGATTCGGAAGAATTGGTCGATGATTCGAACACTGTTACGCAGGTTTTACTATCAATAGGCCGCCCTAATATATCACCTGTTGCATTTTATTTCAAGTATCCGTGCAGTTTATGGAATATTGTGTTGTAGACCAATTTTTTTTAAATGGCTATATCCAGACCTAGCACCTGCATAAAGATCACCGGCTTCCTCGTCGCTCTTTTACTGTCTCGGACGTTGGTGACAATTATTATATCATTTATTCCACAATGGTTCCCGATGAAATCTTGTATTGATGATGACGAGAACACAACATGTACTGACTCTAATATTCAACAAGCCAAAGAAGAATTATCCATTAGTATTTTGTACGCAACTTCGCAGATTACTACACTTCTAGTTAGCCCATTGATCGGTATATTAGTTGATGCTGTCGGTTTTGACGAGCCAATATTGGTCGGAATTCTATGCCTTTTTTCTACCTCGATACTGTTTGCATTCGCTAATGATTTATACTTCTTCATCCTGGCTAGGATCCTACATGGAATAGGGGCTTCGTTGATATTCATCGCCGGAACAGGCTTGGTGTCCTGTTCAAACTATTCACCACAAATTATCAATAATATCTATTCATTGGAGTGGTTGATATATGGATTTGACGTGTTTGGACCAGTATATGGCGGCTTCGCTGTTTCTCTCTTTGGCCAACAAGGAACGTTTTTCATCTTAGCGTTCATTCTGATCGGAAATATGTGTTTATTTATCAGCGGAATGATGGTATCTGACTCTGACACCCCTGACGAAGGGCTAACTGAAAAGAAACCAGAGACACTTCAGGACACATGCAGGTCCACGACACACACCCAGCAAGGTTTTATGAATTTATTAAAGAATCCACACATTGTGTCCTCGGCCATACTCATTTCCGTAGCCGTAATGCCGAAAGCGTTTCTTGATCCCGTTCTTCCGGTTTGGATGACACGGGATTTCGACGCAGTCAGTTGGGAAATAGCGATGGTGTACCTTCCGCAATGGATATGCTTTGAATTAGCGATATTATTCAGTACTTTTATTATACATAAAATGATAAATAAAACATGGTTACTAATTTTCATTAATCTACAATCAATCGCCTTCTCCTCGCTGTCGCTGTATATGGTGTCGGCAGAATGGGCGATCGCCGTTCCGACATCATGTTTAAGTTTCACATCGACTATAGTGCGTTTTCTTATATTCTCGATCATGGCGTTTCTGTCCCGTCAACTTTTTCCGTTAGACGTCGGCCGCATTTTTGCTATTTACGATTTCTTTACGATACTCCCGTTCGCTGTCGGACCGCTACTCTCACTCCCGGTCTATGAATACGCTGGAATGTTTTGGCTTGGTTTTACTATGTGTGTCATAAGTATATGCGCGTCGCCATTATCATTCGTTTTTCGGGGCGTATTTGATGTTCAGGCAGAAGATGAAAAAGAACGGCTGTCAATTAATCAAGCACAAGAACCAAAATATACCACAACACCTGTTCACCAGCAAGAAAGTTTAAAGCAAAATAGTTTTAAAAGAAAATCGTCAAAATCAAACTAATCCCGTTAAGCCTTTTTAATGGACCTTACCACAAGCGCCACCCATTGGATATTGTTGCTATGGTCACACAAAACGACAGCGTAAGCGTGCATAAACACGTGCGTTTTTGGAACAGCACTAATGTGTCTGTGGGACATGCGCATTTCCTGTCCCTGTTCTGATTGGTCAGTTGTCAAGTTGGCACTCCGGAAAGGCCAATTTTTACAAATTATTGCACATAAAAATAAGTCTGTCTTATAATGTTGTCTCATGTCATCTCACTAGCAATATTTAGCAGCCAATCTTGGCCGTGCCTTGGAACACTTTTGAAAAAAATGTTATATCCGTTTGTCCTGAAAGAAAAATTGCTTTTATATAATTGCGGCCTTATATTGAAATTAATTATTCGTACATATTTATTATTACTTTATGGACAATTGCAAACAATAAGCCTATCTGTCATAGCATTGTATATGTTTTTTTGTTTTTTTTTTTGTTTGTTTTTTTATGAATTCGTTGCTGCAATTGCAATATGGAAGACACAAGTTCATCATCTTAGAAAACACAATACGGTACCGGTACGTCACAACATTCGCGATCGTTGTAAAAAAAAAGCCGGTTTTACACTAAGCGAATTTAATCGCCCGAATCGAAAGCGTCGGTTCATGTGTACACGCATTCACATTTCTGTCGGAGTTTTTCGCTTCAGCGAAATCAGTAGTTCGAATTGTTTCTACTTTTTGCGAAGCGAAAAAATACGCAACCAATCAGAGCTCAGGAAGTGAACCGACACTTTCGATTCGCGCGAATAAATTCGCCTAGTGTAAAACCGGCTAGCATGTTGTAGTTAAATAATGCTAACCTAACGTTTGCAACGATTTAGTCCGAAATTACTTATGGTTCTACAAACAAATGTTTTGAATATTATGCAACGCTATTATAAAACTGTTATCCGAGACGTTATGATATAGGGCCTATCTACAGGTTTGATTTGGCATATCGGGTATAAAAATGAATTTGTTTACATATATTATTTATAGGAGTGCAATAATTGATTAATTTTCATTGAAGGGCTATGTTTGATACGATTATCCATCTTGTTCCTATTCGAGCACTGTTATTATTTATCTATTTGTTTATATTGTGTTTACAGTGCTACGCAGGAAACCTAATTTGAATTTTATATTACATATACTGTATAATGATATAGAACTATAATTTAATATACTATGTATAATTACTCATTCAACACTCCATGGTTTTGCTATGTGAGATATATATGCATTATTATGTTCGATGAACATCAGTTAATTTCAGCTAACTTAAGAGAGGTTTAGTCCAACATTCATTTATTGTAAATATAAATAACATGTAGAATTAATTGTAAAATAAGAAAAAAATATATTGTTCGCTATTCCATACCGCTAACAAGACTTTTTTTTCTGATTTCTGCATTTTGTTTTTTATAGTATGTATAGGCATATATATTTCTTGGTTGACGAAAAATAGCCTTACGGAGTTACCTGTGTCCGTCGCCCGGCAAAAGCCGAAATGTACGGTATGCGAAACCTATGGACCAAATAATAATAATAATAATAATTTTGGCTTATATAGCGCATTATGCTAAAGCCTCAATGCGCTTAACAGTAAAAATAAAATTCGGGAAAAAAAATTAAGAAAAATACAAGTTAAAAAGGTGATTTTTTAAAGCTGCCTTAAAATCATCAATAGAAGTTGCCTGTCGGATTGTAATAGGCAGAGCATTCCACAGAAAGACAGAAGCCCAAGAGAAAGAACGACTACCATAATGCTTTGTCGACGGGCGAGTGGAATGAGCAAGTAGAGACTCTGAACTAGATCTCAGAGACCTCTTAGGAATGTAAGGATGAATGAGTTGTGAAATAAACATTGGCGAGGAATTATGAAGTGCTTTGAAAAAAAATAATAAAATCTTGTAAGTAATTCTCTGTGTTACAGGAAGCCAATGAAGGTGCCTTAACACAGGAGTTATATGATCCCTAATTGGGCTTAAAGTGACCAAACGGGCAGCTGCATTCTGAAATGTGGTGCCTTTGGAAAAACCTAAACTAAAAAACTATTTTAGCCATTCTACTGTTGATAAAATAATATATAGTAAAAATAATAATACATTAAAAAAAAACAACTAATAACTTAATGAATAAACTTAACCGGTTTCTACCCGATCGGGGGAGAGGTGCTAGAGAATGTCAATATAGACTTTGGTTTTATGGCGCCGCATCTGTGTTACATTCTGTGTAGGTCATGATTAAATCGCTTTACAGTATATAATATACATAATAATATTAAACTTCTAAACAACACACAAATAACTCTGTAGATTTACAATAATTATTTGCTACCCAGCAAGTTTTCCTGGCTTATTGGAACCACATTGAGGGCGTATACGTTGTTTAATGAAAAGTCTGGCCATATTGACCTGCAATGCAGTGGGCTATTTTGTAGTTAGTTTAAACATTCATTTAAGCGAGAGTTCATAGATTATTTCAGAAAAGTGAAAACAAACTTTTAGTTACAGAGCTATGGTTGATACGAACATCA